AAACATACCTAACACAACCACACTACAAACTATAAGCTACAAAGTACTAAAACTACCCCTAAAAGATCAGATTACTAAAACATGTTTGACTTATTCAAATGACGTCTGGGTTGCAACACTAATAATGGGGGCCAAGTGCCAAGTGTGACAATTGGTCGCTGTGTCTGGACTCAACCTTCCAGAGTCTCAGGCAGAGTCCTCTTGTAGCCCTTCTACCTGAGTCATAGCCTTCCTGACCGCCAGGTCACCATGCTGAGCTCTGTTAGTCTATACTTGTAAAGAAGACCAAGAAAGGTACCATAGTTGCTGGCTACTTAAACTTTTCCACTCGGGATCCCTTTTGACCTGAGAAATGTTTCCATGACCCCAAGTACATAGGTATATAAAGTAGGTGTAAACACCAAACATTTACTGAAAATAAATCTGCGTTTGCAAGGCTTGCTGAACAGGCTGGGTTTCCTTTTTGTGGAGTACAGCTGAAGCATATCCTGCAGAGTTTACTATAACCACTACACATTGTTGCTATCAGATTTGTGTAAATGAATGGCGTTCAGAAACTTTTTACTGTTGTGAATTTTTTCGCTGAGCTAAGGAGACCCTCAGCGAAAAAATTCGCAACACTAAAAAGTTTCTGAACACCATTCATTTACACAAATCTGATAGCAACAATGTGTAGTGTTTATAGTATTTTTATAGCGAATTTTTTTTCCACTGAGCTAAGGAGACCCTGGAGCTCCCGGTGGCGCAGTGGGTTAAAGCACTGAGCTGCTGAGCTTGTTGATCGAAAGGTCACAGGTTCGATTCCGGGGAGCGGCATGAGCTTCCGCTGTCAGCCCTAGCTTCTGCCAACCTAGCAGTTCGAAAACATGCAATGTGAGTAGATCAATAGGTACCGCTCCGGTGGGAAGGTAACGGCGCTCCATGCAGTCATGCCGGCCACATGACCTTGGAGGTGTCTACGGACAACGCTGGCTCTTTGGCTTAGAAATGGAGATGAGCACCACACCCCAGAGTCAGACATGACTGGACTTAATGTCAGGGGACTACCTTTACCTTTACCTTAAGGAGACCCTAACTGGGTTTGGGACCCACAGTTTAAAAAGCAGTGCTATATCTCATGGAAAAAATACTAGTCAGCTGCTGCTGGGAGCTGGTGAAAGGAGGAGTGGAGTTTCTCCTTCCTGAAGTCGCTGATAGCGTTTCTGTTTTGGGTTTCTGCAGAGGAGGGACAAAATGCTTGCTCCCTGCTCCACCTGCCTACCCACTTGCCTGCATGGCATTCCTGGTTACCTGTGACTACCTGCTTGGAGCTTTAATCCGAAGCTCTGGTTAACCAGAGAAACTGGGAGGGGTGTGGGGCCCTCACTTATACCAAGCAGGTGTTCTGAGCTACCTGGCTGAGCAAGTATTTTAAATCCAGGCCTTCCACACTGAAACTCAGGGCCCTTCCACACAGAATATCAAGGCAGAAAATCCCACATTATCTGAGTGTGGACTCAGATAAGATAACCCAGTTCAAAGCAGAAAATGTGGGATTTTCTGTCTTGATATTCTGGGACGTAGGGCTGTGTGGAAGGGCCCTTAGCTATCCTATGGAGCATAAGATGTATTTTACAAACATATCCCCCCAAAATGTGCCATAAATATGTGCAATACATTTTCTATAGTGTGTTTTGGAAAACCTCTTTCAATTTCCCACAATCTCTACTTCCCATATTTTGGCCAGGCAGGTTTGAAGTGGCAAAACTAGCTGCTAATAGTTAGATTGACTGGACATTGTGTATTTCCCAGCACTGACGCCATTACTTGAAGTACTTCTGTGTTAATTCTGACTGATAATTGTATTATGTAGGTGCATACTTCTGTGCTGCTAACTTATGCTGGTGTGTGTGTGTGTGTGTGTGTACATACTAAAAGTTCTAGAAGGACATGAAGCCGTTGTGCTTGCAGATTGCGAATTCTTTAGGCAATTGGAGCCGTTTGTTGTTTAATGTAGCATGTTGCCCTTTCAACTTTCTTAATCTGCCTCAGGGTGCTTTGGCGAAAGCGTGTGAAAGCAAGCTCTCTTTGGGACTGATCTGCTTTCAAACATTCTCTCTGGTTCCACTGTGGTTCTGTGTTAAGGGATTATAAACAGCCTTTTTTCATCCGCTTCGTGAATATTTAGTTTTTTAACTCTGTCTCAGTGTCTTCTGAGCATCAAAAACTCTCCACCACTACCATGTAAGTTAGAAATGGGCACAGCGTGAACCTTGTGCCCAACAAGAGTGCGTAACTAGTGGGAATCATAAAATTGGCTCAGCATCTAGTCAACTGGATTCTAGCTGGGAAGGCGGCAGGGATGAAATGCCAGGAATCTTAGGTCTGGTTCACTCTGTCAGTTTCCTTTACTGCTACCACAGCTCTTCTTTGGCCCATGTGCTGCTGGCAGTCCTCTGGGGAAATGTTAATGTGACCTCTGTTATCTCGGACACTCCCTTGTGGCTTCTACAGCCTAGTCATTCTTTTGGGGATTGATGAATTCATTGCACTTTTAAACCATTCACTTTCCAGAGTTCTCAGGGCTATTAAAATGCAAAATACCATAAAACATCTACTAAAAACGTAGAATACCAAACTGAGATAAAAATAGTGGTAGCGTTTCTCACTCCTCCATTCTACATATTGCCCAGAGCTTCCAATAGCCCCTCCATCTTGTTGTTGTTCTGTGCCTTCAGTTCCTGATTTATTGGTAACCCTATCACAAGGGTTTCTTGGCAAGGTTTGCTTCCTTTTCCTTCCAAAGAAAGTATGACTTGCCCAAGGTCATCCAGTGGATTTCCATGGCTGAGCAGGGATCCAAACCCTGGTCTCCAGAATTGTAGTCAGCGCTCAAACCACTATACCAGAACTCTCCAAACATGTCATCAACCAACCCCTTATAAAAGATGTGGACACATATATGTATTATTATTTATTTTATTTATTTAAGGCTTTTATATCCTGTCCTTTCTCAACCTCCGCAGAGGGACTCAGGACGACTAAATTGTAATACCAAAATGTGGAGACACAACACATCTCATGAAAACTTTTCATTTATATTTTTAAAAATAAATGATCTATTGCTCATTTCACATAGACTTAGAAGTGTCTCATTACATTCATGTAACACACCTACATACTGCATCCAACATACAAATGTGTTGCGACACACTGTTTGGAAAGCTGTGCAGTACACTATGTTGACTGTATATTATTGTCTTTGTGTGCTATGAGAACAGGTAGCTTAAGTCAGTGGTTTTGAACTTACTAGTCGGAGCATCAGAGGGAGATGCAAAGGGGCACAAGCCATCATGTGGTCTCTGCCTGAATTATTTTCTTCACCAATGGTCAACTATATCCAGTTGTAAAACCTACAAATTGGTTCCATTTCTACTCTCCTTTTTTCTATCGTGGAATTTAAGGTGGTATATATGGGATTTGCAAATAGTTTTCCACCTTAAAGCCAGTGGCGCAATGGGTTAAACCCTTGTGCCGGCAGGATTGAAGACCAACAGGTTGCAGGTTCGAATCAGGGTAGAGTGTGGATGAGCTCCCTCTGTCAGCTCTGGCTCCCCATGCAGGGACATGAGTGAAGCTTCCCACAAGGATGGTAAAACATCAAAACATCCAGGCATCGCTCTGGAAATGGGGAAAAAAATCCATAAAGCTACTCATAAATCTCCATAGGCTCGATCATGTGCCTTCAAGTCTTATGCTTCATGAAGAATTGGACCTTGAATCTGTTGTCTTAGCTTGTTTCCTCCCAATCCCCTTTTCCACCCATAAGCCTATTGTGTAGGAGCAGTGTTGTTTGGGGAGGCTTAATCTAATAGTTGTTGAAATGAGCAGTGTTTCTCAAACTATGCTCCCCCAGATGTTCTGGACTTCAGCTCCCACAATTCCTAACAGTTGGTAAGTTGACTGGGATTTCTGGGAGCAGAAGTCCAAAAGACCTGGAGGAGCAGAGTAAAGTTTCAGATGGGTGATATCTTAGCTCTATCTAGCTCACACTTATCCATTGACTCCTGAAGGCAAAGTGCTATTGTCTCCATGGGCTAGACATATGTAGATGTGTGGATACAGAAAATTCTCTTACAATATGACGCAATATTTTGATTTAACCTGTTGTTAGCTATTGTGACTGGTGTAGGCTTAAACAGAAATGAGCTTTCTTTATCACTCTTTTTCTTACCTGAAGTTTCCACGCATTGTATCGGAGACTTTCAAAGCCATGTGCTTTACCACTGAGCTACAGATTCCTGCCTGTGTGCTCTTAGAGGGACTTAGAAATGTTACTTTTTGGACTATGTCACCAAGAATTCTTTATACAGCATGGCCATTGGCCAGGCTCACTGGTTAATAACATTTCCAGGCTCTAGCAATGCATGTTGAATTATGGGTGTGCTTTAGAGGAGAATTCCTGGGTGAGGAGGTGGATTTTGTTAATGGACAGCTGTATTAATGGAGAGCTTCATCTCCGTCTCTCCCTCCACTGCCCTCAGAGATTTCAATGAAACCTCTCCCTCTTTGTTGCCACTCTCCATCTCCCAAAACCAGAGGCTGGGTTCGTCCGGCTACCCATTCATGCCAGCAATGCCTTTGGTATCCTGGGCAGCAGTAGAGGTTGAGGGGGCGTACAAAGACCCCTTTATGGGTTAAGAGAATATATTGAAACACAAAGCTTTCAATTCATTCTCCAAGAAGAGGAGCTGCCCTTGGAGTAGAGCAAGGGTTGTCAGGAAATTTATACAATAGGAGAGGGAGAAGCTCAATGTATGGGCTTGCTTTTTGACAGTGCTTTGGGCACTTTACCTCCTAGAATTGGATTCTGGGACTTGTCATTCAAATAATATATACATGTTCTTTTTCTCAGCAGTTCAGACTTTGTGTTGAAAGGTAGCTGAGGAAGAAACTGGTTGGGGTACACACAAGCTTGTCCTCTGTGCCCATTTCACTCATGTTTCTTCTCTTGTTTATAGCTTGGTGCCAACAGTTTGATCTTTCTCTGCACCAATGTCATCGGCATCTGCACTCACTACCCAGCTGAAGTGTCTCAGCGCCAAGCCTTTCAAGAGACCCGTGGCTACATTCAAGCTCGGCTACATCTCCAACGAGAAAACCGGCAGCAGGTGGGAAGGCAGCAAGAGATCTGGTTTGGGCATTGGAGGGTGGGAGGGACGGACATCATGCTTGCCAGGGCATAAGATGAACGCATGAGAACACCAAAATTTGGAAATCCACCTTTTGGGTTACAACGCCTAGAAATGGCCTGCCAATACAGCCATTGGGGATTCTGGAATTTATAGTCCAAAAAACAACATTCCCAAATTCTGTCTATTGCTTGGCCGAACAACATTGGTTTTCATTCGCTTTTTTTAAGGATGGTAACAAGATGGCTTCACTCCTCAGGATTCTGAAGGAGGTTTTGAAGGATGGACTTAATGTTCTTCTGACTGGCCTAGTACAAGACACCTACTAACCCAAGGAGTGACCATCACTTAAAAAAATTGATTTTGTCATTTGGGAATTGTAGTTGCTGGGATTTATAGTTAACCTACAATCAAAGAGCATTCTGAACTCCACCAATGATGGAATTGAAGGGTTTGGTGGGCATTGACCTTGAGTTTGGGAGTTGGATTCAAACAATGATGGATCTGGACCAAACTTGGCATGAATATTCCATATATGAACACAGATGGAGTTTGGGGGAAATAGACCTTGACATTTGAGAGTTGTAGTTACTGAGATTAATAGTTCACCTACAATCAATGAGCATGCTGAACCCCATCAATGTCAGAATTGGGGCAAACTTCCCACACAGAACCCACATGACCAACAGAAAGTACTTAAGGCCATCCAGTCCAACTCCTTTCACCAGGGCAAGAAAACGTAATCGAAGCCCTCCTGACAAAGAGCTATCCAGCTATTGATATAGATAGATATACATGATTCACACACACAGAGAGATATAGTATCATAGATTTGAAAGGAACCCCTAAAGAAGGATAATTATATGTTGCATGCTCCAGAGTAGGCAAACCAGACAATCTCTTCATCAATACTGACAAAGAAACAACAAGATGTACTGTTTATCCACAAGCAGAAAGGAATTACATACATTAGAAACCAACACTTTCTGACTACTTTATTTTCCAGATCACCAGACTGAGCCACAGCAACACATGGCACAGGACAGCTGTTCATTAATTTAATGCTTAATTTAGAAACATTCTACAAACTTTGCTGATTATTGAGTAACTTCTTAATGGCCTCTGGGGTAGCCTGTGTTAGTGGGTGTGGCCAGTGTGGCTGTGAACATTGATAAATTATTATTACTAAGAATTACGTTAAAGTTTTTTTCCCCTTGTCTTTTTCAATGAGTAATCGTTATCTCCCCAAAGTCAATTTATCTGGAAAGTTCACATGTGAAAAATGGAGAACTCGATGCATATCGTTTGCTGTAGTTTCCTTTGATTAACTTCCTTGTAGTGTAAGAGTTTGTCTATGTGCTTTTAAGTTGCCCATTGATTTGTGCAAGTTATTTACTTTCATTGGGTTTTCTTAAGTAATATTCAGAGGTGTTTTTTCCAGTTCTTTCCTCTGAAATATGGCCTACAGCACTTGGCTTTCATTTGTGGTCTCCCATGCAAGTTCTAATCAAAGCTGATCCTGCTTAGCTTCCAACAACTGGTGGGATCTGGTGACTAGGCTATTTAGACCATCTTTCCTTATAATGCTTCTTAATTTCAGACAAAGCACTGGATTTGAATGTTTAAAGTAGAAGTGCCACATTTAATTAAGGTCATCGTGTTGAAAAAAGAGCAAGTCCATTTTAGGTGGTTTTTAGCCATTTGGGGTTATTGTTTAATTTTTAAAATGTTTTTAAATTAATATATACAGATTATTAGGAAAAGATTAAAATATCTGGAGATATCAAAACCATCTAAATAAAAATGTAATGTTCGTTTGAGGGGTTAACATAACTCAAAAATCACTGGACAAATTGACACCAAATTTGGATACAATACACCTAATAATGCGAGGAGTGACAATCACTCATAAAAACACTGAAAAACACAGTAGAGAGGTCTTAAAAAGCCAAAAAAGCAAAAAGAAGCTACAGTGCATGTGCAAAAACTACTCCCCGGCAAACAAAGCACACAATAGCATATCCACACTCTCTTCCGGACTACAGCTCCCAGCATCCCCTAGACCTGGCCCTTTAGGAGAGGAGGATAATCCAAATGTACTGCTTCCAAGCTGCAAGCATTCTTCTCCTTGGATTTCTTTGAGAGCATCCCAATCTCTGTGTATTTACAATTTCCTATTCCTGGACTGCAACTCCCAGCAATCCTCCAGATAGATAGACTAGATAGAGATAGGTAGGTAGGTAGGTAGGTAGGTAGGTAGGTCGATGATCAGGAGGACTGCTGGGAGTTGCAGTCCAAGAATAGGTAGAGAAGGAAAAAATGGGAGAAAGGGAAAGGAAAGAGGGGGAAGGAAGGGAGGAGGAAGAGAAGGAAGGGAGGAGAGAAGAAAAGAAAAAAAGGGAAGGAAGGAGAGAAAAAAAGAAAGAAAGAAAGAAAGAAAGAAAGAAAGAAAGGAGAGAAAGAGGGAGAGAAGGTTGGCCACAGCAACGCGTGGCGGGTACAGCTAGTAGGAAAATAATCTTGGAGGAGACTTTAAAATGCTGTCTTAGCAACCTTTATAAACTGAAAATCACTTTGATACTTTAGAAGCATTAAATCTACTATATGTATCATGGTTCAACATACAATTATCATATATGAGATATTAAAAATACAGTTTATTCAGAATATATTTTGAATTTGAATGTATTTTTTAAAGAATTCATTTCAGAAATGGAGCTACATTTTGATCTGTAAAAAATACCTGAATTATAAGAAATCTCTTTGAGTTTTCCAGTTTGAATCTCTCCCTAATAGAAACTGAATAAACCATTAGCATTAGTTAACAAGAGAAAATCATGTTGTCTACACTAGTTCTCCATAGTGCCATGCATATCTAATGCACTCATTCCTATAAAAAGAGCTGAGAAAAGGAAACCAAGCATGTAATTATCTATGTTATGTTATGTGTCTTCTAGTCAGCTGTTGGATATTGTATGTCGTCTTAAATAAAAGTCTTCTACTTACATAGTGTTGAGAAATAAGTTTGGGATAATAAACACACAAACACGGTGTCATTAAAAATGTATTCATTCCATAACTCATTTTTCAGTCCCGTCCATTCCCCCAAAAGGAATGGAGAGAGGAATCAGGAGAAAAAATAGAAAAACATGTACACACACACACAAACACAGAGTTTTTCCTGTCTTTCACATTTCAAATTAGGAACACTATTGACTTAATACTAATATTTTCCTGTAAAAGAATATCCCAAACTTTGTATGCAAATATGTGTGTGTGTGTTAGCTATTTGCATATATTTTGGATCTGTAAATCAGCGGTGTGGGCTGTCATTGTCCAAACCCCTTATCTTTCAAATGATAAGCCCTAGTTCAAATGCAGAAGTGCACGTTCGTTTTAGAGAAGGACTTGAGCCTGCAAACTCATATCTTTCTCTAACACTGTTTTGGTTCACTCCAGTGACTAACAAATTCTGGATAATAGATAGAGGGAAATAAGTGTCTGTACATCATCCTCAGGAATTATCTAGAACAGATGTGGGTATCATGCAAGTTCCAGCAGCCCTTGCCAGTATAGCTCACAGGGAGAAATAATACTGGGAGCTTTAGGTCCCTCAGGAGAGACTGCAAGGCTCCTATCCCTCATCTTAAATGTAGTTCTTTGTCCCTCGTATACAATCAGTCCTCCACATTCACTGAGGTTAGGGGAACAGGACTGCTGTGAAAGTGAAAAACTGCTAATTTTTTTCACTTGAGAGAACATACTAATAGGAAAATCTGGGTCTCCTGTGGTCACCTTCTGCTGGAAGCGGTATGCATTCATTAGAGGACCTAAAGATACCTAGAAAGCTGTTCTCTATGTCAGGCCTGCACAACCTGTGGTCCTCCAGATGTTTGGGACACCAACTCTCAGAAGTTTGTCCAATAGCCAGGAATTCTGGGAGCTCAAGTCCAAAGCACATGGAGGACCACAGGTTGTGCAGGCCTGCTCTGGATCCTCCAGCAAGACTGGAGGAAGTTGACCATAGACTCACATTAGAGAATGTGGATATTCCTACAGATAACATTTTAAAATCAAATCTGTGAATAATCAAATTCACAAAAGTTAAAGCTGCAATTGTGGAAGGACAACTGTAGTCGTGGGAAAGGAGCTTGCCCCTCCAATACTAGAATCACTCCTCATGCCCCTTAAGGCTCTTCCCTTGCCCCAATTTGTTTGTGTTTATTTTGTTTTGATCTCTTCCCTTTTTCTCCAGTTCATCTTCCACAAGTAAGACCTTCTCCCAGGATGTATCAAGTCATCCATATCCTTAGGCACATATTGATCCCCCTGTAATAATAATAATAATAATAATAATAATAATAATAATAATAATAATAATAATAATAGGGTTTGGCTGACTGTAAGTGAAGAATAAGTGGAGTGAAAGACAACTGTGTGAGGCCTGGGTTATGGAAAAGGATGAAGAGTGGAGCATAATGGGAAAAATGTCATTGGGCTTTGTTCTTTCTTATTTGAGGAAAAACTTCCTGTTTGGGGCAATTATAATGGATCTTCTTCTCTTGGGTGACATATAGGAGCGACTCCTGCTCTCAGTGCTGCCTCAGCATGTTGCAATGGAGATGAAAGAGGACATCAACACCAAGAAGGAAGACATGATGTTCCACAAAATCTACATCCAGAAACATGACAATGTCAGGTATTTGTGGGTTTGTAGTGTGTATGTCCATGTCTGGCGGTAGTTGGGGCCTTGGAGTGGTCATAACTGAAGAATATTCGACAATAGGCAAGGAGCATTTCATCCAAAGAACACCTTTGTGGGGTGGACACAGATAACATGAGATGGGCCCAAAGACGAATGGTTGTCATCAGGCTGATCTCTTCAAGTTAGGTAAGAAATGGACTCAAAGGCTGTAGGGTGAATGAAAACCTCTCTATTCCTTTCCCCTTTTCTCACCGCAACAGCATTTTGTTTGCTGACATTGAGGGATTCACGAGCCTGGCCTCGCAGTGCACGGCACAAGAATTGGTCATGACACTGAATGAGCTTTTTGCCCGTTTCGACAAGTTGGCTGCGGTAAGTGAGGAAGGTGGAATAGGGTGAGCACACAAAGGAGGGGAAGCAGTGGCTTGCGGCTCATTGTGGGTTTGTGGGAGGAAGTGTAGGAAAGAGGCACTGAGCCCTCAAAGACCAATAATACCTCCTCCTCTTCTCTGTTGAATTCTAATTAAGTAATCCTTCTTGGTTGCTTGGCCTTGGTGCCGATATATCCATTTTCTCAGTTGCCTGTTCAAGCCATAACATTAGAATATTTAAATAATGGAACAATCCAGTCATGGATGATGGGATTTTTTAACCTTTCTCCTCACTGATCCTTCTTTTTGTTGTCCTCCAGGAGAATCATTGCCTGCGCATCAAGATCCTCGGGGATTGCTACTATTGTGTCTCAGGGCTGCCGGAGCCACGGGCAGATCATGCCCACTGCTGCGTGGAGATGGGCGTGGACATGATTGAGGCCATTTCGTGAGTGTGAGATGGGGAATGACTTGGCTTGCAAGACGTGTATGTTCCTGGGGTTCCCGGTTGACTTACTATACATGTGTCACACACTGTGTCTGTGACGATTTTCCAGAGGAGGATCCACATTGTTCTGTCAAAGTAGAGATAGGAGTCATGCAGAATCCTTCCAACTCCCAACAGCCTTAAAGCAGTCTATAGTCAATTTTGGGAGTTGCATTCCAGTATAATTTTGGAGAGTCACATATTTCCTTCTCTGATCTGGTGCCTTCTTGAAGACTAGTTTGTTGGGGCATAAGCTTTAGTGGACCATACTAGTGTCTGCTGCATCTGATTCATGAAACATATTCTTACATGAAAGATAGATATCTAGCTCCAGATGCAGTGGAGAACAATGTGAACTTGGCAGTCGAAATGCCATGAAATGCAGAAAGTACAGTCTGTGAGAACTGCATTAAAAAACAGGTGAATTGTGGTGTTAACACCTATAACTGCTGTCCGTCACTGGCCGCACTGGTGTCACAGCCTGTAAGGTTTGGTTTTATCGCTCTTTGAACCCACTGCTGGGATTATTTATTTACTCTATGCAGTTATGCATGCCTGTACCTGTCCACTGAAGATAATGCTCCATTCATCTCATGCTGAAATACATGTGTAAACCTTTTAGGTGGGTGAGCAAACTGTGGCCCAGTTGTGCATGTGGTCCCTTGGGTAGGGTCAAAAATGTTATCATTCAACAGTCCTAAAAATAGCCTCTGAGTCTTGGGGGAAAAGCTGGGTACAAATAAATATAATAGTAATAATTGTAAGAGCACCCCCAGTGGTGCACTGGGTTAAGCTGCTGAGCTGCTGAACTTGCTGACCAAAAGGTCGGCAGTTCGAAGCCAGGGACTGGGGTGATCTCCTAGTGCTAGTCCCAGCTTCGGCCAGTCTAGCAGTTGGAAAATATGCAAATGTGAGTAGATCAATAAGTACCGCTTCTACGGGAAGGTAACGCCGCTCCATGCAGTCATGCCAGCCACATGTCCTTGGAGGCATCTATGGACAACACCGGCTCTTCAGCTTAGAAATGGAGATGGGCACCACCCCTCAGAGTCGGACACAACTAGATTTAATGTTAAGGGAAACTTTTACCTTTTTAAGTGTATGAGGACTGGGGAACATTTTCCCCATGTTTGAGTGCCGTCTTGGCCAATTTAGGTTCAGCAAGAAGTGACTTCTGCTAACCTATTGTTGAAAAAAGGTCTATTTTAGTCTTTTAAAACATAGTAAAATGTTCCCATGCCTCCTAGAAGGTTTTTGGAGGCATTTCTCCTTCACCATTTAGAACCCCTTAGTTGCAATTTTTTTCCAAAATAGGTGAGGTTATTTTTCTACTCAATTCCTGTCTTGAAAAGAAGGTCAGAGAGGCATTCAAAAGAAAGAAGAGGGGAAAATACTTGAAAACATGACTTGGGGTCTCTATTATTAATGATGCGGCATTTTAAGATTCACTCCCAATTTTGGGTTGGGTGAGAGGACATGGTGGGTTTTGTGTCCAGCCTCGCATTCCAGTGTTTCCCTTTAAACAGCCTCTCAATGAACCATCGTTTGATACTTGCATTGGCTTCACAACAGATAAGATATGTTGCACATGACCTATGTACACACATGGCAACTTCCCAGATGTGGATTGTAAACCATACAGAGAGCTAGAATGTAAAGAGTAATTTTCCAGCAGAGACGGCCTGCTTGCCCAATTGACACAGCAATCTAACAGAGTTTGGAATATCTTTTTTTAATGTACAAGGTTTGGTTTTACTTTAATAGAAAACAGTGCATTGTCAGCATGATGCACTGATTTGAATTTTGGGCCAGGATCTGAGAGTCCAGGAATTGAATCCCCACCCAGTCACAGAGAAGTCACACTCTCAACCTCATAATAATAATAATAATAAAACTTTATTTATACCCCGCCACCAAGGGGACTCGGAGCAGCTTACATGAGGCCAAGCCCAACAACACATCAATAAAACAAAAAACCATAAGCAAAAACAATACATGTAATATAACTGACATATAAACAGTAACACACAAGGATTTAAAAAACCTATGGCCTCAGAGCAAAATCCCTCTGAACGAATGTTACTGAAAAAGCCGCATGATAGGCTTCATCCTAAGATCACTGTGAATTAAAAATGACTTGAAGGCACACAACAACAGTATTGCTCATTATGTATTAACCTTTGCTTTACGGTACCTGTATTGTTGCTTTTTTTATTCTTAATTCGTGTTAAGAAAAAAAGACAGAGAGAGCGAGAGAGAGCAAATTCCTTAGAAATTACCCCTATGAAATCTTTTGGAAGGGATGAGTAAATGTTGCTTCTCAGTAAGCATAATCAATCTATTCCAAATGCCAAAAGCTTTCATTTCATGGTCTGTTACATATATCCCTACTATGGAAAAGATTTGCAGTAATAACCATTTGTTTAGGTTAGCCTTCCTGGTACAATGTATTTTTTGAAATTGAAAGATCCGAATTCTCCAATGTGAGAGGCTATAAACTGTAAAACCAAAGAAATGATATCTCTTCTGGAAATATCTCTTCCTTTCCTCCCAATTTTGGGGGTATTCCTGCAGCTGCATTGGGATGAGAGAGACTTGCCTCGTTCTTCTAAGAACTTTATTTTCTCCATTCCCTCGCCTCTCCTCCGCCTCTTGTGAATCCACCAGGCGTGGCCCATACATTGTTGAGGTTATCTTTACAGCCATATGGTCTGCAGCCTTCCTCTTTCAAAAACCATGAATGCCACAAACTTCTTGGAGTGTCAATTCTATGCCTGATATTGCGCCCTGAATCTGCGCAGAGAGATTGGGAAAGAAAGAATACTGCCATAAATCTATTTATGTAAACTTAGTTGCTATATGCGTTTAATGTGGTAGTGTAATAGAAAAGAAGAAGAAAAGAAATCAATGAGATGGAGAGTGTTGTAGTTGGAACTCCACTCTAAGATGAAGAGTGGCATTATCCACAACAGTAAACGAGGAGTGAGGAAGCTTTATGGTTCTAGATGTTTTGGACAGTATCTCCCATAATCAGTGACCATTGGCTGTATTGGTTGGGGAGATGATAGAGATCATGAGCCAGAGGCTTTCTACCAGCCAGAGGTTTCTGGTAAATCAGAAATTTCTGGTCAGAAAATAGTGTTTTATAAACGACAGTAATGATGTTAGCATCGAAGTGTGATTCTGTGCTCCACTGCAATACACCTGATTTGGACAGGTATTGGAAAACTGCTTAAATTGTGGAATAATCTGTTAAAGAATCGGAAATTAAAGAGGGAAAATGGAAAGCCAGAACAGATACATTTTTAAAGTGTAACTCCAGTCGCCTCTATCTCTATCTATCTATCTATCTATCTATCTATCTATCTATCTATCTATCTATCTATCTTTGGATAGTATAAGTGTCTCTGCCCCTGTTCAGAATATTTCACCTCACTTTCTGTCCCTGTGATAATTGAATTTTGAAAAAATTGGCTTGTTGTAGAAACAAGGATTGCTGATAAACCTTCCCATTATAACTCTTCCGGGAGTGAATTTCCCTTCTGAGGAATAGATTTCTCTCAGTTCCTGTTGTCTCACCAAGTTCTTAACTATGAGTCATTTGTAAGCCAGATGTTTGTAACTCAGGGACTGCCTGAACTTTAATTTTCACAGCCCAACAAAAAAAATTACTTGGTGTCATGATTTTTAGGCCTGTTCCTGGGGTTATTTTGGGTGCTGATTCAGAAAATTGCATTGGATAGATTGCATCAACTTTAGTCTGATATGGTTCTCATGGTTTTTATGGGCAAGCAGATGAAGACTGGTAGATGGTATATATTCTGTATATCAAAAACTAGAGCCGATGGGAAGAATATTTGTGTCATTTTTGGAATCAGCAGGTCAACAATACCCATAAACAAGGCTAACATTTGAGGCACCAAAATGTGTGCTGACCAGTATTACTAATCTCACATCTTTTCCCATATAATTTTTCTCCAAACCACATGTCTCTATTTGCTTTATTGCCTTCCTCCTGGTCCTTTCCAGAATATATTCCATGCTCTTCAGATGTAAGACTATTACAGTTAAAAGTGTGTGCTAACAAGACATGCCAAGAGTAATGAACCCTCAGTTTGGGAGGGAATTAGACTCATTCGTGGAACAAAAGACTGTAAGTGGTGACTACTTACATTGGCTTACACATTCATGTCTTGCTGAACAACTATGAACAACTACTTGGCTCCTAAGGGAACAGTCTACTGGGCTAAATAAGCCTTTGGTCTGATTCAGGAGAACTCTACTTAACATGACTAGCTTTCTTTGTTATGAAGCAGAATCCTTCTGTCCATTGAGCTGCAGGCTTTTAAAACAGAAAGATTTTAAATAATAGGCTGAGAGGGTGCTGCTGCTGCTGTTGTTGTTTACATTGGCTAGAGATGTACCCTGATGTCCAGGATTGCCCCAGACTTCTTGTCTCAGCCTTTATTAAATGCGTTTACTCTTCAGCTCTTGCCAGAATAGGTGACCTCCAGAACAGAGGTCCAAGTATGAGGAATTAATTTGGGTTTTCTTATGGGTTGACCCAGTTCCCAGACTCCTAGCTGCAGCTGGGTCTCGTCTCTTGAGCTTATACTGTTCTCCTAGCCAACATGCTCATTCCAGTTCCAGCTTCCCTCTCATTTTACTTCCATTTCTAAGGGCCATAACCACTGAATGCTTGGTCAGATGCTTCTCAAATAGCATCTGAGCTCATAGAAGCGGAAAGGAGGAAAACTGGCTTTTCCATATGGATTGGCAAGCCCATGGAGAGTCCATCCAGAGGTCTTGCACATTTCCCAGGCTTTTGTTGGAAACTTTGCTTGCATCAGAAATATTGTCAGCTTCTGTAGGATTAGTTGAATATCATTTGAAACGGTGGAAGAATTTCTTTTATAATAGCAACAACTAATAACTAATAATGGTGAATCTATTTTGCTGAGTCTCTGTGGGAGAGAGTAAAATAATCCTTTTGGCAGAAGTAAACTCACTATGTGTAAACATCCAGAAATAGAAACTTGTGGTCCCTTGGGAAAATAATAGCCCAACTGCTGTGGTGAGCTTGTTATAAGCATGATAACAGCAGCATGTAAAACAGCCTGCCTCGTGTGATGTTCTCCAGATGTTTGGGGCTATACCTTCCATCAGCCTCAATTAACATGGACAGGATGGTAGCAATATGAAACAATTGGAGTCTGGCATAGCATTCTTTTGTCTCCATCTGCAGACATCTTTACACCAAAGCGCAACTTGCACACGAGCCCAAACTTTTGCATGTTGTGATGGCAATGGGTTTACATACGGCTCTTCCTTTTCCTGTTCCAATTATAGGCCATTCTTACTGCAACATATTAACCAACTCTATTTTGAGCTCAAACTCTTTATCTTTGTATCCCACCCTGTTTGCATAGTTTATTTCAGTAGGCAAGTTGTAAACCAGGAGTGGCAATCCTGTGGCCCTCCAGATGTTATTGCACTGCAATTTCCAGCATTCCTTATCATTGGCAGTGCTGGCTTAGGGCTATTCGGAATCATATGCTTCCCACCCTAGTTCTACAGCCTTGCCTGACTGAAAAGACTAAAAACTTTCCCGGACAGGAACTGGCGTTATTTATTTTCCAAAGTACCATGCACATTCATGAAACTATTAATAATTGACAGGGTCGTTCCTTCCTCATGGGATGATATCTCTGTAGGCTTTTGCTATCTGTACGAGAGAGAGGTTTGGATCCTTATCCTATTGTCCTTCTTCTAGGTTGGTGCGTGAGGTGACCGGGGTGAATGTGAACATGCGTGTTGGGATCCACAGCGGGCGTGTGCACTGTGGAGTGCTGGGACTGCGCAAGTGGCAGTTTGATGTCTGGTCCAATGACGTCACCTTGGCCAACCAAATGGAGGCTGGTGGCAAAGCTGGGTAAGTCAGGACTTTCTAAGCCTGAGAATAAGGAAGGTTGTTGGGAAGGAGCACCCTTGGTCACCGGTGGGGAACTTCCTGACCCCCTCAAAGGGTGGTTTCCTCTCAGGGGAAATCTGGGAGAGGGGCACGTGCAATGAGTGGAGCCAGAACCCAAAGGGAGTAACAGGAGAGCTCCTCCTCTCCAGTCCCTTGACTCTCACAAATCTCTCTTCTTCTCCTCTTTTGCTTGCTCTATGGTGTTGAAGCAAATTAGCCGAAAAAGAGCTTCCAATTGCATCTGTAGTTTTCATGTAAATGAGTCATTTGATGTGACTGTAGCAAGCACAGTGAGTTCGTCACCAACTTTACTTAAACATTGCGAAGGTGGTAAAAGATTATGGGGTCTGCTAACTCTTTTTTCCTGAAGCTTCCAAACTAAGATTTCCTATCACCATCTGCCTTGACTTTTGACATCCAGTCATCTGTTTGGTTTTGCTAGTCCAAATTCAATCCCCTTTCTTTTCTCCTTTTCTTCCTTGCTTGTACTACATGGTGCATACAAGCTAAATACTACCACCACACCACCACACCACCCCCAGCTGTACATACTTGGGACTCTAAACACCATCCATGCTTCTGGAAGAGGCTCCTGCAGTTTGGTTCTTCCAGCTGCCCCTTCAGGTTTTCCCTGTCCAAAGCTTCATGTCAGGTCTCCCTCAGTCTGTGACTTGCATTCTTCTTGCTACCTCTCCTGTTATGACACTTCTCTTGCTGTCTTATCTGTCCATCTTGACCTGTTTCTTGGCCAGCGTGCCCCATAAGCATAGGCTAAGCCACTTCAGTGTTGCTTATCTCTTCGACGTGAATGTAAGATGCCAGAAGAGCGTCATTGTGGTTATGAAGGTGGCTGCTTCATGAGTTACAAGAGAAATGGGCTTCACTGGATGACTTGTGTGAATAATAATGTTCTCTGTCAGGCGGATCCACATTACCCAGGCAACACTGCAGTACCTGAACGAGGACTACGAAGTGGAACCAGGGCACGGGGGCGAACGCAATGCCTACCTCAAGGAGCATAACATTGAAACCTTCTTCATTGTGGGCTGCAGCCAGAAACGAGTGAGTCCAAGATGGAGTTAGGAACAGGGTGGAAATAGAATGATAATAATTTGCCCCGGTGCATGTATGTACAGGGAAGAGGGCTAGCACATTTGCATGTTCATCTGTGGAGGGCTTGGTGTGTGGTGCCAGTGAGGCTCACAGGAAGAGTTTTCTTATCCAAAGACGAAACAGCAGAAGCTGCATCTTCAGCCTGCACACACACATGCATACACATTGGGTGGGCAACCTCTGGCTTTCTGAATGTTGTTGGATTCAGACTTCCATCATCCCCAGCTAGCACGTTCAATGATCAGGGATGATGGGTGTTTATTTATATCTCATCTTTCTCTTAAGCGTAGGATACAAAGTGTCTTAGGGCATATCAAAAAGTTCAGTAAAACACCAGTGAGTTATGCAAACTAAATGTCATTTTAAAGCATCAATTGAAACACTTCAAAAAATCTCACATTGACAGAAATATAGAAGTATTGGAAGTCTAGCCATTCTATTTAGTTTGAATTTTAAAAGTATTTTCCCATTAGAGTAATAACCCAACATCATTTGGAGGGCCCTCCATTCCCCATCTGGATATATGCCTTTTCTTTTCTTTTTTAGAGTGGAGAGTGCTTGGAAGGATTCTCCCCTACCATGGCTCCCCTTTATTAATTTTGTTCCTCTGTCACATTGTCTTCAACAGAAAGAGGAGAAAGCCATCTTAGCCAAGCTGCAAAGGGCTCAGGCCAATTCCACTGAGGGGCTGGTGCCTCGCTGGGTCCCTGAACGCTCGTTCCCTCGGACCAAGGACTCCAAGGCCTTCCGGCAGATGGTGAGTGTTGGCAAGAGCCAGGAAGAAGGCTGGTTTTGGGACAAAAAGATGGGTGGAGAACAAGTGATTATCTGGCTTTTGGTTGATTGCGCAGTCCCATTTGCTTTGAGGTCTTTGGTTATTAACTTCTATAGTAGACACTGATTCTTAAAACATTGGACAGGAACATTGCAAGGGTTTGTTCTCATGCCACCTTCAAAAGTCTGCACCATGTTGCTTTTAACGTTGCCAATGACTAACTGGCCACACACAACTTTCAAAGCTTGCAACCCCTTCCCCCCCCAAACCAGCATGTCTCTGCTGGCTGAGAAGAGTTTAAGACTTGTTGCCGAAAGGAGTTAACTTTTTAAAGAAATGCAACTTGTGTATGATCTCGTTACTGGCACACCCATAATTGGCAGAAGTCATGCCTTGTACTGACTTTGACCATCTTGTGTGTATGTCTTGTCTTGTCAAACTCTTATCTTTGCAAACTCTGTGTCGAGACACATTGGTATCGGCTGCAGTGTCTAGGCGTGTTGTGCAAATGTAATGAGAAATGACAAAAAAATTGGAAATGTATGTTATTGTCTTATGAATCATCCATTTTTTAAAATATAAATTAAAGGTTTTCAAAAGATATGTTGTGTCCCCATACATGTCATTATTACAATTTAAGTATGCGTCCTTATCTCTTACAAAGGTTTACTTAACCACTGGTTTGCTAGAAAAACTGAATTACTGTGTCGCGAAATGATGCACCAACATGAAATGTTTGGAAAACTCTGCACTAGACAGTGGGACCATTTTACTATAGCTGCCATGGCAACAGCCTTTGGCATCCTGGAATTGGCAGTTCAGGAAGGGGTCCTCGGACTGGGAGCTCCTCTAATGCCTCTGACCAAACTACAAATCTCAGGATCCCATAAGATACTGCCATGGCAGATGAAGTGGAATCAAAGCACTGGTTTGAAAAAGCCCAGAAGTCATTTAACTACAGAGGTTATTTTTATTTATTTATTGTATCAGGAGTGAACCAAAGGTACAGTTATAAAGTATTTTTAAAAATCCACAAAGTTTAAAAACTTGACATTACTGTATATTCCTTTGACCAGTAACTGGCTCTTGGAGTGCCTCTGGTGTTGCTATAAGGAGGTCCTCCATTGTGCATGTGGCGGGGCTCAGACTACATTGTAATAAGTGGTCTGTGGTTTGCTCTTCTCCACACTTGCATGTTGTGGACTCATTTCTTAATGTTGGCTCTGCATCTCGTGCCAGAGCGCAGTCCATTCAGCGCCTTCCAAGCTGGACAGTCTTCTGTGTGCCCAGAAGGAAGTCTCTCATTTGGTATCAGCCATGGATTGAGGTTCTGGGTTTTAGCCTGCCAGTTTTGGACTCTCACTTGCTGAGGTGTTCCTGTGAGATTGCAATACATCTGGGTATCCTCTGGGCAACGTCTTTGCAGACGGCTTATTCTCACACCAGAAGCAACCAACCAACGAAACCAACCAATGGGCCTTTTCAGGACCAACTATAACAATAATCTCAATCAACATTGAAGGCATGTCAGCTGCCAAAGAACAACTGTTCTATTAACTGTGCTGAGAACTAGAGAGGTTAAGGATAGACTATCGTACCCGAGATGTCCAAAAGTTGTCTGAGCCACTGAACTGGTTTAACTCTGATTTTTGAATGTTGCTTGAGATGGGAAAATCTAATAACATTCCCAGAAGGTTTTCTGAATAATCCTGGGGATTGTAAGGGGAAGGTATTTCACAGCTGTTTAGTGATCACCAAAAATGCCTTTCTGTATACTTTCGCTGCATGCATGGTACAATGAAGAAGAAGGGCAACACCAAGACCTTCTACTTCTTGAAATGGCACCAATACCCCCAAAGCTCGACAAAGTCCCATAAGCATCCTTTTTACTCCCTGGCAGTAAATTACAATTCAATTACAATTCAAAATGAATAAATAATGATTTGCTGACTTTTCCTGACTTCTGAGATCTGCAGTCTGAGGCAGCTGCCTCACTTTACCTAATGGTAAGGTCAGCCCTGAAGCTTGTTATGGAACCAAAAAGAAAATGGGAGTAAAGGAGACAATACTTCCAACACCTGCAGATCCCAAGTCATTCAAGTTGGATACAGGTCACCTTGAACTGTGCCAGAAAATATACAATACGCCCTTCATTGGCAGAGGAAATGGCCCTGGGAGAGGGGTGGTGGGGATGGGGTGGGGGCAGTTGGGTAAAGCTTCAAGCCATAACTGTAAAATCCCAGTACAACAGAATTACTAGCAATAAAATTGTGCACATAACATGTCAGAGTTATATTTTATCCAATTTGCAACAAATCATGTCCGAGGAAGCTAGAGTGATCTCGATCTTAGCAGCTGAGAAAACAAAGCCACCACCCTTTTTTGTAATCTGTATCAACTTGCCACTCAGCAGCAAAATATATACATTTCTGTATTCTCTTTTTATTGTGAGAGCTGTTTAAGAGACCTTTGGCAGAATCTCCTCAAATGATGGTACTTATGTAGGTGGCATGAAATGAACAGTGTGGAAGTCACGTGCTACCCAAGCTCGTTTTTAGTAGTAGCACCCAGATTCTGGAATCTATCCTCCAGTTGTAAATGGGTTTTGCAATGCAAGCCAGGTCATTCTGGGTGGCATTTGTGTCCTTCTAAATCTGATGGCAGCCTCTTTCCTTGTATGCTTTAACTGGTTTAAAGGTGGGATTCAAGGTGGCACAGTGGAATATTTTAAAAGAGGAAGCTAATACAAGTGGAGCATCTCTTATCTGGAATTCCAAAATTCTCCAAAATTCCTAGGTTTTCCACATGGGTGACATTTTTGTTTCATGCATAAATTGTATTAAATACTGTATAAAGTTTGTTTGTTTGTTTTGTTCCGTTAGAAATGTAATACAATGTTCTGGTTGTGGATGACACGATAAATAAAATAACTGTATAAAGTTAAATTCAGTTATGCACATATGATACATACATGAATTTTGTGTTTTGACTTGGGTGTCTTTTCCAAGATGTCTTATCATTGATGTGTGTGCAAATACAGGTAGTCCAAATTCTGAAGGGGGGAAAAAAAACCCAAAATCCGAAACACTTCTGGTCCCAGGCATTTTGGATAAGGGGGAATCAGCCAGTATTGATTTTTAAATGGAACTAAAATTGAATGCCCAGCTTTAAACAATTAAAAGCATGTTCTTAAGAAAAGTACATTACCCAGTTGGCTCGCCAATTCCTGTCCTCATTGGCTTGTCAGGTGTCTTTGCCAAAAGTCTATCGCAGGCATGGGCAAACTTCAGCCCTCCAGGTGTTTTGGACTTCAACTCCCAGAAATCCCAGCTAGCTTACCGGCTGATAGGAATTGTGGGAGTTGAAGTCCAAAACACTTGGAAGGCTGAAGTTTGCCCATGCACGGTCTGTCGTCATCAACAACAACAATATGGGTTTTAGCATACTAGTATTCTTCATGTTAGAAGCTTTTGATATAATTTTGGGTTTGTATATGTGATCAGATCATGATTCCATGTACCGCATTTTGTTATTAGCAGCTGCTCGGGACTAAGGGTCTTTTCCAGGGAAAGTTTAAAAGAATTTTACGTTTCAGATCAGGCACATACCTGACAAGGAAATGTGCATTTTAACATTGGGGTGGAGAGGCCATGGATTTTGTGCGTGAATTACTTTTGGCAATTTTACTTGGGTGGGGAGATTAAGAGTTCCTTGTGTGCATGCACTGGAACAAAAATGTCTAATGAGGCTTTCTGGGCATACAGTAAAAACCTAATTCAGTTCTACCCTTAATCCATTTCCCCTCACATTATGACTGCGTGTATGTGCCTTCAAGCCGCCTGTCAGCTTATGGCTACCCATTAATTTTGTAGGGTTTTCTTAGGTAAGGAAGACTTGGGGGTGGTTTTGTTCATTTCAGTCTCTGAAATACAGCTTATACCACCTGGTATTTACTGCTGTTCTCCCAAGTACTATCCAGAGCTCACCCAGCTTAGCTTCCAAGAATAGATGGGATCTGGAGCTGTCAGGTGCTTTCTGATAAATTTATCACAGCTTTTTCTGAATGGAAACTGAAGGCACACATTTTGCACCTGAACATATTTATTTTTTTAAACTGTATTAAGAACAAGAACATTTACTTTTGTGAAGAGCACTTTCCCTTTATTTGTTTTTGAGACACATAGGACTAGTTGATTGTTTTTTGTATAATTTAAGCAGAGATGCAATGGTTGTTGACGTCTGAATGCCAGCTATTTCGTTGTGTCTGGGAAAAGGTGCAGTTGCATGCTACCATTGTACCATTGTGACAGACTTAACTGCTCCTGATGGAGACTGATTAGAAGAAGCAGGACCAAAACAATGAATTTATCCAGAGCAATAACAGGATCACTTCTTTTATTTATAAGTACTTTGTGTACTACTACGTACTGTGGGCTTACTACTAGAATTGTCGTCTACCTCAATTCTCCCTCTTTCATACTCTCCTATTCCCAGCTGGGTCTGTATGTGGAAGGGATGAGATGGACTTAGTTGGAGCAAGTGATTCATGCACCCAGATGCTGTAGTGCTTCTTTTCAAATATTCAGCCATACTGAAGTACCCTTTTCCTGATACTTCATTCTCTTGGTTTTCCAACTCAACCCTCTTCCCCAACAGTTAACATCATTCATTGGCCATGGAAAGCACTTATAGGGCTGTTTCGGATATTTCCCCCATCTCAGAAGAACTGTCTGCCCCCCAAAAGATGTGTTTGTATTTTTGCAAGCCTTGCATTTCCTCAAGACATCCCTTTTTTGTGGATGGATTTTATTTCCATATGTAGGAATGGATACTTGTCGAATTGCACACACGATCTCTGTATGTAATTATACAGAAGTATAAGAATGGGCTATACCATTACAGGTGGGGAGGATTTCCCTTTTGGATGCCCACATAGGAAAGGGACTGTAGTAAGAGAAGTTCGGTGAAGTCGGCTTCTCATG